ATTTTAGGAAATGTGATTTATAAAACGCAAACATTGTTTTGGATTGGTGAACATTTCTTGACAAAAAGAATATATTTCTAATTTAAAATATTTTTTATAAAGCCAATTTTAGGTAGAAAATATGAACAATTTTAGAAAACACGGACATTTTTCGACAAACCTTGGAATCGAAAGGGTTTAGGCTTAGTAGAACTAAAACTGAGTACATGATGTGCGATTTCAGTACTACTAGGTGTGAAGAAGAGGACACATCAGAAGAACACCTTTCGATATTTTGGGTCAATGCTACAGGAGGATGGGGGTATTGATGAAGATGTGAACCATCGAATCAATGCTGGATGGATGAATTGGCGTCAAGCTTCTGGCATTCTTTGTGACAAGAGAGTACCATAAAAGCTAAAAGGCACGTCCTGCAATGTTGTTTGGCGCTGAGTGTTGGCCGACTAAAAGGCAACAAGTTCACCAGTTAGGCATGGCGCTGAGTGGTTGAGATGGATGTGTGGCCACAGAGGAAGGATCGATTCCAGAATGATGATATACGAAATAAAGTTGGGGTAGCACCAATTGAAGAGAAGCTTGTCCAACATCGTCTGAGATGGTTTGGGCATATTCAACGTAGGCCTCCAGAAGCTCCAATCCATAGCGAACAACCAAAGCGTGCGGAGAATGCCAAGAGAGGACGGAGTAGACCGAATTTGACATGGGATGAGTCCGTTAAGAAAGACCTGAAGGATTGGAGTATCACCAAAGAACTAGCTATAGACATGGGTGCGTGGAAGCTTGCTATCCATGTGCCAGAGCCATGAGTTGGTCGCGAGATCTTATGGGTTTCACATCTAGCCTACTCCAACTTGTTTGGGACTAAAGGCTTTGTTGTTGTTGTTGTTGTTGTTGTTGTTGTTCTTTTGTAGACATTTTGGGGAAAAATGGAAACTTTATTATTTTGAAAAAAAAATAAAAATTTAAAGTACTGAACATTTTTTTAAACAAGAACAATATTTCAAAATTGTGACCTTTTTAGAAAAATGAAATTCTGAACGTTTCTGAATATTTTGAATTTACAAAATAAGGAATAATAAACTTGGAAGGGAAAAGTGAAAAATAAATTGGAAAGAAATAGACAAAGACAGAAAAAGAAAGTTAGAAGCAGAACAACAACAAAAACAAAAACGGGTCAGCTAGGTCATGGGCGTCGTGTGCGAGGCTCTGATTATTTGTCGCACCATGTGGCACATAATTTTCCTAGCTGCACGGACAGGAAAATAAGTGGGCTAGCTTCGCTGGGCCACAACGCGTGACCCAAGTACGTAATTTTGGACAAAAATTTAGTATCACTTTGGATAGAAACAAATATATTTTTGATGGTGAACGGATGAAAAAAAATCAAAAACACGCACCTTGCTTTATTAGTAGGTAGTATCACATATGCCGTGCATTGCAAGGGAAGAGATATTTTTTTTGTGAGAAGCGATTGGGGGAGAAAATTGATGTGTCCACCAAAAACGGTCTCCGTGGCAGTAGGGCTACAGAGCGAGGAGCTTCGGTCTTCTCGCGGGTCACGTTTGGCCGGCGAGATCTTGATAGTGATGGGTTTATTCGGTGTGGGGACGACCACCAACTCGTGCCTTTTTTTTCTACGGGTCCGCCTCTGTGTTGGGGTTGTGGCGGCCTCCTCATTTGTTGGCTGCGTGGCGACCTTCGAGACACTGTTGCTCTGACCACTCTCTCCTATGACATGATAGCCGGATGGAATACTAATTAGAGCGTATAAATCCCATTTCATTAGCATAATCAGTGCATAATGCATAACCCGGCAATCCCTACTTTATTAGGGTTTATTATTTGTAATTATTTTAGCACTCGCATGTCTATTGTTTTTTTCGTTAATGTTAAATCAGCACATTCTCTTTTATTGGCATGTGCCCATGATTTATTTCAATTATGTGCCCATGAGACGCACAACGGTTTCCGTCTGGGCCAGCCCACTGGCAGGCACCAAAAAGACCTGTGTCTGTAAGGCGCAAGTAAACAATCCAGAAAATGACGAGTTGCAGGATAGAACTCACGACTTCAAAAACTTGACCACGTGCTCCTAGCCACACGAACAAACAGGTCCTGCAAACCAATGGCCAGGACGAAAGTTTTAAAACATACTACAATGTTAGATTCGAAACATTTTTTAATTTTTTCAAACAGTTAAAAATTATATTAATTATTATGAATTACCGGATATTATTGGAAATGAGAATATTTTTTAAAACCCAAACATATTTATTAAATACAAATAGTTTTTTGAAAGTTCCATTCATTTTGCAAAAAATACTAGCTGGATTTTAAATGGGAAGATTTTTAAAAATATGAATCTTTTATAAAAATATGAACATTTTTCAAATTCGTGAACAATTTTTTAAAATGGAAACATGTTTTGCTCATTCAGAACAATTTTGGGACATGTGATTTATTAAACACAAACATTGTTTTTTATTCATGAAATATTTCATGACAACATGAATATCTTTATAATTGAAAATAGTTTTTTAGAAATCCAATTTTATTTAGAAAATATGAACAATTTTAGAACACACATTCATTTTTTGAAAAAATGGCATATTTTTTTATTATTTTGAACAAAACAAAAATTTAAAATACCAAACATTTTTAAAAATAGGAACAGTACTTCGGATTTGATTTTTTTTGGAAAAACTTTGAAGTAAATTCTGAACGTTTTCCAAAACTATGAAATTAAGAAAATAAAGAAAAATTAACTTGGAAGGAAAAACTGAAAAATAAATAGGAAACAAATAGGGAAAGAAACAGAAAAAGAAAAATAGAAGCAGAACAACAGCAAAAACAAAAACAGGTCGGTTCAGTCATGGGCGTCGTTTGCGAAACTCTGACTATTTCTCGGACCATGTGGCAAATAGAACTTTCCTAGCTGCAGGGACATGAAAATAAGTGGGTTGCCTTCGCTGGGCTATAACGCGTGGCCCAAGTATGAAATTCTGGACAAAAATTCAGTACCACCTTGGATAGAAACAAATATATTTTTCTGATTGTGAACATACGAATAATCAGAGAAGCGCACCTTGCTTTACTAGTACTAGCACATATACCCATGCATTGCAATGGGAGAAAAAATAATATGCATTTAAAATTAGTGAGAATTATATGTGCAAGCAAAACCTTGTGTGCATGTCAAAAAAAGAACATTTATCTACTCGGCTTCGCCGAGTGTGAAGTAATCAATCCGCTATTTTTCCATTCAGTGATTGAGGGCGTTTAAGAGTTTTGTTACGTCATCGTACACCAGAGAAGACACGTGAATTATTAAATCTAGTTTTTTTTCAATCGAGGAGATTTTAAGATATGATGTTTTTGAATATTGTAAGAAACATCAACCATTTTTTATACCCTTAAGAGGTTTTTGAAAGTTATGTACACTCTCAGAAAAACGCGAACAAAATTTGATACAGTAACAACTTTTAAAATTTACAAACAGTTTTTGAAAACACCAACTTTTTTTATAAAAACATGGACATTAGTACAATTTGTGAACATTTTTTAAAGTGGGAACATGTGTTGAAAATTCATGCCATTTTTCGAAATGTTTATTTTATACGCAAACATTATTTTGAATTTTGAAATTTCACTAAACGAAGTATATTTTTCGAATTTTGAGCATTTTTTAGAATGCGGTTTTCTTTTTAGAAATCTCGAACAAACTTTAGGTACAATTATTTTTTTGAAAAAAATGGGAATTTTTTCCAGATCCGAATATTATTCAAAATAGCAATAAAATTTTGGAATTCTGAACATTTTCCAAATATTATTTTAATTCTGAACTTTTTGAGAATTTTGAATTTATGAAATAAATTCTGTAAGAAAAATAAACTCGGTTGAAAAATAAACATGGTGCCCAGCTTCAAATTTAGATCTCCAGCATACTTTCTTTTGTTAGTTCAATTCAGTTTTCTCAACTTGGTACAAATGTTGTGAGATGATATTATTGGTTATCAAATAAGTGCAAAGCGTGGTTGGATCTGAGAGAACATATAATTTCTTATAGATCACCAGGACATTTATTTGAATGGTATACAATCACTCCTTAAAACAGTTTTTTCATTGCCACATCAATACAACTGTTTCACATCTACCAAAAACAATTACAACTACTACAACAACAAGAGTTGCATCATAGGAGTTTTGAAACAAAATTAAATTGGCACTCCTCTTCGCTTCCTCCCTGGCAAGGCACTAACTTCATGTGCTCCCTGACCATGACTTGCAACAAAATGAGGAAATGATGTCTTGTTTCGGCGTAACACTGGGATGAAGGAGGTATGCTTGATTCCCATGCAATTATAATGAAGTCTTGTTTCGGCGTAACACTGGAATCTCTGATAAGTTCACCAAGTGTTAGACTTGGCAATTCCTTCTTGATTGAAAAATTAGCTGTACAAGGTATCATGCTACGTGGAGGCAAAGCAAAATCTTTTATGTCCACTCGATGATCTTCTTCTAAAAGCATGCTTGGTTGCACACCATATGTGGAGAGGTTTCTTTTAATGTATCTTAGACCTTTGTCCAATATGCAAAGCCAATACTGAACATTGAGGTTCATTCTCAACACATCTGCCAGTATATTTATTGCAATAAGTGTATCAGGCACATTGTGCAACAACTTGCCAAATTCATCTGCTAGTTTTACTAGCTGTGGATGTTCTGTGGGGTCTACGCTCCCGAATGCCAGTGTCTTCAAAAGGTACTTCAACTTCTCGCTAGACATTGCACTTAGAAAAATAGGTTTCACTGATCTGAATCGATCTAATGTTTTAAGTCTACTTAAGATGATGATCTTGCTTCCTCTTAACATTCCAATGGCAAATAAGTAAAACCTGTTCCAATCATCTTGGCCAATATCAAAGAAAACTCAATAACTACCAATATCCTTCCTTCCATGGTCCTTCCATGGTCAGGTCTTCTCAAAAGGTTGTCTCCATTCAAGTGCAAAATAGAGGAGAAGCGTGAGCCAACCCTTTCTCACCGCACGCATGAGCAACCAGAGTTTTCTTCCCAATTGCTGCAGCACCTATGATCGGAAGAACAGCCGGTGCATCATCACCAGGAGAGTTGTTGTGCTGCAACAAGAAGCTCAAGAGCTTTTGCTTCTCAGCGTGCCGGCCGAACATGAAATTTTCAGTGTAAAGATAAACATCATATGGCCTACGGGACATGCGCTCGCATCCACCGAGAAGAACAATAAATTCTGACATATTAGCAATAGCAATTTCTAAGCTTTCCAAGGCACCATGTGACTCGAGGCGTGGGACCTTATCATTTGTACTTCGAGAACGCTTGGCTAAATATAGGCTGCTACCAGATGAGTCGTTGATGCTAACCTCTTCGAAGCCTGCACTGACTTGGAGGGCACGGTACCTTAAGTTGTCCAGCGCATGGTATCCTCGGTACATGGCCTCTGATAGTGTCTTGAGCTGCATCATCATCCCGGAATTGGTTATGTATTGTGTGTCCGCCTCCTCAACAATGGTGCAAACTCTCGTTTGGAGATGTTGCAACCGCTCCATCACCTTCTCCTCCGAGTGTGGCTGACTTGAATGGTACTTGTTCAACAGGAAGGAGATGAAACAGCTCACAAGTTCACCTGCAACTGCAGACATGGCAACCTCCATGGCGAGAATTAATTAGGTAATCCGCTGGTAGGTCTTGTGACAAATTTATATGCTGGCCTCTGCCAAGCCTTGCAAGAGACTGTTGGCGAAATATAAAAGTCTCCGTGGATGACTTGGACTGTGACGAGTGGGTGGGTGACACAAGTATACTTGTCATTTTCTCCTTTGTGCCAGTTCAGTGTTAGGTTTGAGCTGATGTTGAACTCCACTATGGTAATGGAGAAGAATTTTCATCTGATGTGACTTGGAGGGTCGACAAACTTGGTTTTGTTCCCTGTGCCGAACAAGTCTCGCAGAGGCTCTATGCAAAATGGAAAAGACTCCAGGAATTTCTAAGAAGTTGATGGCGACAAGATGGTAGGTGACACAAGGATACTTGTCTAGATGTCCAATATTCATAGTCAGTAGGTTCATTAATTATTGTCCCATCGTAGAATGCATGCATGTGTATTGCGTTGGACTCCTTCCAACATTTTACATTTCACTCTACTCTGGCAATGTTTGACTGTGCATGGATACTACTTTGCGCTTTTCGAGATGGACTTGCCGAAATGTCCAAATAAGTGACTAGGACAAGCCACACAAAAAACAGATCTGTATTTCTAATATTCTAAATTCCAAAAAAATGTGTACGACCATTTGGTGTTTGCGACACTTTTTGGTGTTTGCAAGTGGCTGCTCTCTCACACACATGCATGCTTTTTTTGTCTCCTAGCATATGTGGTGTTGACATTAAATATGTTACACTAGTCATATTGGTTGGGGCGTCCAGACGTGTAGGGGGGTTTGGGGCGCCCGGCCATAAATGGTCTAGGATGCTTTTGGTTGCCCGCATAAGGTCGAACCAGACCCTCGCAGGAAGAAAACGAGCTGATTGGTTGCTAGCGTACACTACTGGGTCTGCACCGCACAAAGTTTAAAGCACCTACGGGCCTATCGGGAGGCACGCTCGAATCAGCAATATCTCGCGAGCTAGGCCCGCGCGAGGCATGTGGGCAGCCGCGGCTGCTCGCGAGGAGCCACCGTCGAGAAGTCGCCTTACTTCCCGAAGCGCCGACAGTTATTACCCACACCTTCCCTCACTGCTCGCTCTTCCATCTCCCCTCTCCCCACTCTCACTGACGGCGGCGGCGGCGTGCAGCAGATCAAAGAACAACAAGTCGACCTCCAGCCACCTTCACCGGCATCCACAGCAACACTTCCGCAATGGCGGTAAGCAATTCCCCCTCCCCACAAACTACTTTGCATTTGATTCGAGTTTAGATTTGATCCGCGTTAGGGAAATGGGGAATCGGGGTAAACACTATAGGAGTGATCATAACATCGTCATGATCACCGGTAGATATGAGTTTCCCGATCCGGATTGAGTAAAATATGAATGGGGATTAGGGTTCATCTTATATAGTAGGCACATATTTTAGTCAGCATCTGCGTTTCTGAACGGCCGTATGCATTTTCACGCCTTTCACCGCGAGTCACACCGTTGTCTAGCCGTGGTGGACACTAAGGGGGAGACATGGACATACTTCCGCGTTCCCAGTGGTCTTAATAAAGGTTTCGTCCAGTAGTCACAGGGCTGCTTGCATCATGCAAATTTTAAGAAAGATGAAGATAGTGTTGTAGCTCGATTGGTACTCTATGTTCTCGAGGACTATGGCAGTAAAGAATGGGCATTGAAGCATAGTGTTGAAGCTTCACACGTATTCAGAGGGAATCTTATTTACATAAATCCGAATTTCGAGTTGGTTATGATTCATCCCGACTGTAACTTGATCTTCTTCACTGTGGGACAAGGTATCCTTTGCTACAACATGGATCGTCGACAGGTCGAACTGATCCCTGGTACTAAAAATTGTATGGGGCCATATCTCCCATATGTTCCACTGTACTCAGAGTTATCATCTTTGCACATGTGAAATCAACATGGGATTGTTGGTGCCTTTACAAGAACTGGACAATCGACGGGAGTCATCAACTGTTTGGCCTAAGGAGCAATGTGCTTGCTATTCCTGCCTGAGTATGGATCTTCTTTTCTCCAACTGGAGTGCACACATATGTTGTCTGAAGCTTGTAACTATGGAGCAGATGGTGTGGTACAGTATGGAGGCAACATGGCTGATTTCTCTGCGCGTAGTTATTCAAATTTTCATTGTACTTTCTACTTTTTGTACCTTTTCTTGACACTGCTACCATCACGTCTTCGTTCATCTTTGCGTAGTGTTTTAGTGAAGCTACTATAATCACTTAGTGTAACTTATGTCTTCTATTTTGCATTTCGGGAATTAGAAGCATCTTATGGACTAAGACCTAGTACACCATTGCTTGTCTGCTAAGGATATGATGTGTGTAATCATTTTCTGACCGCAAGTTATGTGTTGGTGATGGTGAAACAATGTCACTTTCTTTGGTGCTAAATGCTTTACTTATTAGCATGAAACTAAATGCTAATTTATTGTGGCATCTTTTTGTGGAAAACTAAATGCTAATTACTTGTGGCCTGTTCCGGCAAAAGATTAGCAATCAGAATGTTCTTGTTGGAGGAGAGAATTGTTTCATTAGACTAATGGTAAGAAATCATGTTTGCTTGTTGGTTTTTATTCATGTAGGTAGGTTAAGATTATCTGCAATGAGCAACACCACTCACTTTCCATTTTAGGCTTGCTTATAGTTATACGATGTCTGTAATGCTGCAAATATGCTCCAGTCCGGTGCAGTTCTGAAACAACAAGTGAATGTGATGGCTCTGTGTAGCAGTAGTAAATCCCGTTTCAGCTTCAAGACTCCCAAGACAAACTGCACTATCCATGTGTTGCTGCAGCCTGGACAAACTGAAACTATCCTTGTGTTCCTAGCATTCAGGAAGAGGTTTTTGTTGGTGATTTTGTGACAAATACTCCCTATGTCCCAAAAGAAGTGTCTCAACTTTGTACTAACTATAGTACAAAGTTGTACTAAGCTTGAGACACTTATTTTGAGACGGAGGGAGTAGATAGGAAGAACTAAGAATAGCCAGAATCTGGTATTTTGTGATCATGAAAATTTGATAGAGTTTTTACTGAACAAAAGAGTCGTCGATTAATTAGGTAGCAGTAGCTAGGCCAACATGAATTCTTGTGTAGCCTATTAACTTTGCATAGTTTACAGCAGAGCTACTATGATCATTTAGTGCATGGCCTGATTAAATATTATCATGCAGCTTAAACTTATGCCTTCTGTTTGCAGTTAGACAAGTGTTTGTTCAAACAAATCTTGTTGATTGAGACCTAGTAAACCATAGCCTGCCGCTAATGATATATTCTGTGTGACCATTTTCTTTACTGTTAGATATGTGTTTGTTGATGAGTGTCTAGACAAATAAAGTGGCCTTTGCCAAAAAAGTCTTGTAGTCTCCTGGAAAAGCAAGTTTCACATAAACTCTTTGCAAAGTAGAAAAGTCTCAACATGTGACTAAACCATTAAGAGCAATGAGTGGGAGGATGACACCCAGATAAAATTTGACTGGTATTTCTAGTATCTGCAGTAGGTAGGTCCAAATTCATTATTTTCCATAGAAACTGCCCTTATGTTTAATTATCTTTGGATTTGTCTTCGTTTGGACTTCCTTCGCATCTCACACAGCACCTACTATATGTGCACTCTAGTCTAGCAAACTTTGACTGTATAAATTAGCTGTTTCATGGTTGAGCGAAATATGGGACCAACTTGTTCTACCTTTTTTTAGGAACACTTGTCGTGCCTTTGACATGTGGGACCTCCTAGCCAGCATATGTGCCCGTATGCAAGAGCCAAACCCGTTTCCGTTTTCCCATGGGGCCCAACGTTGAGTCCCCTACCAGCGATCCCCAATCTCCTTCCTTCCCCAATCCACCGTGTCAGCAACCCAACCATGAGGCAACCGGCTTGCCGTGCGGCCATGGTGGTCGCCGACTTCAAGTGCGGAACGGTTGAAGCTTCTCAAGGGCTTGCATGGGAGCCTCACCGGCGGTGATGCGCGCTTCGTGGATGCACCATGCCGCCGCGGTTCCCTGTGAGTTGTTAGAATTCCCCGGTAATTTGATTTCAAACTCGTTTCGATTCCAGAAATTTTGCAAACATTTACTGATTTGTGAGTAAGGCGCTGGGCCAGGATCCATCCAACACATAGAGCTTCAGCCTCTTTTGCATGGCTGGTCAATTGCAAGCGTGTATGCCTGCATGGCACCAGCGGTAGTAAAATGCTAGGCAGAACTATGCGATGATGATCATAATGATGTAAACAGCTAATTAAAGTAAAGATAATAAGGAAATGGTAAACGAGTAAAATTGTGTTGTTGGATAGAGTTGATTGGTCAATCCTGAGCCGTCGGTGATTGCAGGCGATGAATCAAACGACTCATTTCTCCTGTTTTGCCCGGCTGCAAATTTAGACGGTGTTCCAAATGTTCAGAAGTTTCAGTGTCGAACACTCCAGCAAACATTCTCTTCTTATTTCAGTTCTGTTTTCCCACCTTGAATGTTTAGAAGTATCAGGACTCATGCACGGCGTGCTTCGATCCGATAGAGCATACACTTTTATTATAGATATCTGGTACATTTATTTTAATTGTACAAAATCACTCCTTGAAATAGTTTTTCCATGGCCGTGCGAACACATCCATTTCACATCTACCAAATAACAAAATACAACAAGAGTTACATCATAAGAGTTTTCAAACATAATTAAATTGGCACTCCTCTTCGCTTCCTTCCTGGCAAGGTGCTACCTTCATGTGTACCCTGAGTACAACTTGTAACAAAATGAGGAAATGAAGTATGAGCTGTATCCTTGATTCCCATGCATTTAGAATGAAGTCCTGTTTCGGCGTAACACTAGGATCTCTCAGAAGTTCCACAAATGTCAGACTTGGCAACCCCATCTTGATTGAAACATTAGTTGTAAGGGGTATCATGCTAAGTGGATGCAAAGTATAGCCTGTTACGTCCATTGGATGGTCTTGGTCTATAAGCATGCTTGAGTGCGC